CCTGTTTTCTTTGTTAGTTCAGTTTTATTGACCATCTCCTTATAGTAACTTGCAGATACACTTCTCTGACACTTCTTGGAAGGTCTAGATCATTAATTCCAGCTTGTTTCAAGGTATTTTTCATAATTCGCTGCCTCCCTCATTCATTTATTTATTTTCATTGAGAACTTACTAGGCCATAGGTATTTTTCTAGAGTAATGGAAACATTCCAGGGAGAGAAAAATGCCTAAGCAAACCAATAAGAAACTGATGGTAAGTGCTATGAAGAAAAGTAAATCAGGTTAAGGAAAAAAAAGGGGGGGAATGAAATGCAGTGACAAACTTAAATTGATAATCATCGAAGTCCTTTTATGCAATGACAATCAGAAATTTGAAGGACATGCTTGGGAGCAAAATATTCCTCACAGAGAGAATAGGCCCTAAGGTACAGGGGGCAAATGGAGGCAGATGTGACTGGAGTATAGTGAGCAAAAGATATTCTCCCCATTTTCTTCCTCTCTCTCTCCCTCCCTTGTCTTATTATAGAGATAATATACTCTCATCATTAAGAGATTGATACTTCTTGAACCTTATTATATATAATACATATTATATATATTTATATATATGATACATATTATATATAATCTAATATACATTTAATATAAAATCTTACAATTTTACCACCTGGTACACACACACACACACACACACAAAATACATCAGTTCAAAAAGATACCAGGGTCTCAGATCACAGAGACTGTGGGGCATGGTAAGGAACTTGCCTTTGAATTTTACTCCAAATTATGGAATAAACCATAAAGAACTGTGAACACAGAAATAATAATATCTTAATTATGCCTGTAATATAAAATAACCACTATGGCTGCTCTGTGGAATGAATGTATGTGCTCAAGTATGGAAGCAGTAAGACCTTTTAAGAGTGTGATACAATATATAACAATGAGAAAATGTTGATAGCTTATACCAAAATGTAAAAAATGAATGTTGTCAGAAGTGGTAAGATTCAAAATCTATTTCTAAGGAAGATTTGAGAGCATTTGATATGGTACTGTATTGCCATGTGGAAAAGAAAAAGGATTTGTCAAGAAAGATTGGGTAATAGAAACTGACAGGAACATCCCACATTTATTATGAAGCAAAAGATTGGAATGAACTAAATTTCAAGGGCGATGAAGCCAAGAGTGTGATTTTAAGCATGTTAAATCTCAGATACCTATTACATATCAGAAGAAAAATCAGTTAATTGTTTTTATACATAATCCTGGAGTTCAGAGGTGATATTAAGCAAGCTACATAAACATGTCATTTTTCAGCAAATAAAAGTCATTGGTCTGCATGAAATCTTTGGAAAACAAGTACAGATAAAGAAAAATCCAAATGCAAGGACTAATCCACAGTGTTTAAAGGTCAGGAAGATGAGTGGAAATGAGAAAGAGTGACTAAGGTAACTAATAGTAAGTGAATGCTTTAAGAGAGAACTTGTAAGCACTGCTGGTTGGGTGAATAAGAGGAAGACTGAGAAATGGATTTATTAACATGGAAGCCATAGATGACCTTGTCAGGGGGAAAAAAATCTCATGATGTAGATCAACACAGCCTTATATGGAAAGGATCAAATGAGGGCTGAATAAGGAGTGGACACAGGAAGGCGAAACAGTTTTTCAAGAAATTTTGTTGAAAGAGAGTTGAGTGGGAACAGGGAAAAAGAGTTGGTGGTAACTTAGTATTTGCTGCAAGTAATGTGAACCCAACATTAATGTTATTTTTTCTTTAAAAAGTAGCAATAACACAATGCTTGCACATTCTCATGGGAATCAACCAATAAAGAAGGAAAAATTGATTCGAGAGAGAGAATTATGGTAGGTGCCTTTGTGTTCTTGAGTATGGGAGAAGTTGATCAGGACATCGCCGGAGGTTGGTTTTAGGAGGCAACATATCTGTTTCAACTACTGCATCAGAACAAGCAGCATAATATGTGAATATGGATCTAAGTACATGATTAATTCAGTGTGGGAAAAATGTAAAATTCTCCTGCAATTACTTCTAATTTTTCAAGAAGTAAGAAGCTTATCAAGTGACATTTGAGAGTGAGAGTGACAGGAGATTTGGAGGTTTGAGGAGAGAAAAGACTCTGGGAAGCAATTACCTCGGAGAGCAGGTATTGAACATTTTTGACAGCAACACAGAATAAGAAATATCATTATCTGGGAAGTAAATGCATGAGAACACACACACACACACACACACACACACAAAACAAGTTTCAGTAGTTAAGACCCTAACTTCACTTTCTTTCAAAGCACTTCAATTATATTTTATTCACAGAAGGTGGATAGTGACTCACTAAACAATTTCATGACACACTAATGGGTTGCAATGTGCTGTTTGAAAAACACTCATCTAGAAAAATTGAAGAGGAAAATTTCTAAAGCAATGTAATAGGATTCCTGTGCAGCAAAATAGGCCCACTTAAGGATTGAATGTAAAATGAGACTGATCAACATAATCAACCCAAAATTATTATGACTCCCCCACTTCCACTTTGTCTTCCTGCTGAGATCCCTATTTATTCTTAAATCCCCTGTTCTCTAGTAACACCGGCTTGATACTCACTGATTTTCTTCCCATACTTCATTTCTGTAACTCTCTTCATTTGATCAATCACAAAATTTTAATGATTCTACCTATGAATTCTCACCAGCATCTGTTTGAGTTCCATTATTTCCACCAGAATTCAGGCTTATAGCTTGTTTCTCCACCCTGTATTTTGCTTTTCTTTTCTAATTATGATAATTATAGCTGCTTGTTAAAAAGACAAATAATTTAAAAAACCCCACAATTTCACTATATAAAAGATTACCTAGCTAAATTTATTGATATATATGTGTGTGTATGTGTATATATATATATATATATATATATATATATATATATATATATTCAACCATTTTAAATACATGCTATATAATTTCTTTGTGATTTTATATACATAATTTTACATATAAATATAAAAATATAACTGTTTTATAATATTGCTTGCTTTTAAAATAACATATTGTGAATTTCTGCTCACCTAATAGTGTTTGACAAAAATCATATTTAACAACAGCTCAGTGTTGTTTCATGTATGGTGTTTTAATCTAAACCATTTTGTTGAACTTACATGGTCATGTGCATGTATAGTTCAGATCCTGGACTTTAGGGATGCCAATATTCCCAACTGCTGTGCTCTGAAATTAAATCCAGCAGTGCTTTACCACTGAGTTACATCCCCATTCTTTTTTATTTTGAGACAGGGTCTCAGGAAGTTGCTGAGTGTCTTCCTAATAGCTGAGGCTGAACTCAAACTTGTGATCCTCCTGTCTCAGTCTCCCAAGTCAGTGGGATTACTTGTGTGTGCCACTGTGTCTAGCCTAATATTCATTAGTTTGCTCCAAGTCCTTACTATGGGTTCCTCCCAGTTAATAACTGAATGTTGAAAACTGATTCAGGCAGGCCCATTACTGGGAGACTTGGGATTCATCTGACTAGTGACTTTGGCTGGAGTTCTCCTTTGACAGACCTGGATAACTTTCCATAGTACTATGCACAACTTTCCTTTCTTCCTTCCCTGGGGACCAGCCTTGCATGAAGTCAAAAGGCTTTTCTTTTCTTCTCTCAGCTCATTTCCCATTTTCTCTCAGAGGGCTTTTAATTTTCTCTAAAATAATATGTGCTTAATCTCATCTTGGCATCTGTTTCTTAGATGACCCCAAATAATTGTAGACACTCATGTCATTTCAGATTATTACACTATACAACAAGATTAAGCTTCTGATTGCTCAAGTTTTAGCACAGCATTCTTCTGTTAGGAGTACTTAAGACATTGCCTCTGTTAACCAAATTAAGGCCAGACTCTTATTACCTATACACTATGTTCACAACCTTTCTTGCCAAAAAAAAAAAAAAAAAAAAAAAAAAAAAGACTGCTTTGTGCTCTAGTCTGGCCTAATGCCCATTCACCAAACATTCTCCCATTCATCTCCTTCCCCTCACCTCTCTAAAGAAAATATCTACTGGGCAGGATGTTTCCCTCATTCTGGATCCTTTCTTTACATTTTCCACTCCAGTGTTCTTTGCCCTTCATTCTAAAGATAACAGAAAGGTGTTTTATGTATTGTTTTCACTATTTAGGAGATGTTAAAAATGAGGCTCTATGACAAACTAGCAGATGGAACAGAACTGCTTTGTTGTATTATCATTATTTTTTAAAAGAAAAAAAAAGTAACTGAGATTGCATATGGTTAGGAAACACCAAGCTAATAATTAATGATAATTCAAAGCTTTTCATTTGTTTTTAATTGCAAGACTTCTCAGAGCCCTTAGAATGCTAATGCACAGTCTGACTTTCCAAGGCCAGCCTGATTGGTGCTGGATGTAGTTTATCCCAAATTTATTTGATTATAAAATCTTTTTTTTAAAAAAAAATCATTTCTAGAAACTACTATTCCTTGGAAAACACTGAAAAAAAAACACCATTGTCATAGAATACATATGTGTGTATGTGTTTGTGTGTGTGTGTGTATATATATATGTATATACACACACACACAAACACACACACACACACACACACACACACATATATATACATATAAAACTTTGTCTTTTAGTTACTTGTATATTTATCTTATGTATTTTCCTGCTTTAGCTTTCTGCATAAGATCTTGAAAATAATAGGCACTTGTTGAATTGAAAATCATGGAATTTTAGGGTAGGTTCATTGTTAGGAAGAATAGTTGGCAACTGGAAAACAATAGTTTGCACCCACTTTCAGTACTTTTCTTTTCAGGCCTTTTCACACCCTATTCTCCTGGGCTATCTTTCAGGCTGTGAAAAGATTAGTATCTTGATGCTGGCAGAAAGCCATTGTTAACATGGGCTAAGTATATTCTCTACAAATCACTTTATTGCAGCAGCAGTATAACCGGAGAAACATGTAAAGATGGAGGTGATTTTAAAGGCAAGAAAGCAGGAGACAGCTGACTCTAGGTCTTGGGTACACTGGGCTGTGGGAAAGGCAGCCTGTGGTTTAGTTCTGTTTTTCATTTCCAAGGGTATGTTTGTCAAAAAGGTACTCTGCTAGGCCAGCATCCTGGGACCCCATCTTAATCAAGTTGTGTACATGGTCAGCTAGTTCTTTGATAGACTTCACCTGCTCATTCAGGTAGTGGGTTTCCAGAAAGTCACATAAATGGGGGTCACTTTTGTCTGAGGCCAGGGTGTGCAATTCCAGCAATGAGTCGTTCACATTCTTTTCCAACACTAGAGCACTCTGCAGGGCATGCAGCCCACTTTCCCAGTTGTCCTTTTCTGGCTTCTTGATGTCCTTTAGGTAGATCTGGCCTCCTCGCTGGTTCTGAAACCTCATCAGCTTCTCTGCATGATCTCTCTCTTCCCGAGACTGGTGAAGAAAATACCTGGAGAAGTTATACAAGGCCACGTCGTCCCTGGAGAAGTAATAGGCCATGGACAAGTACACATAGGACGCATAGAGCTCAAGGTTGATCTGTCGGTTTACTGCAGCCTCGCAGTCGCGGTGAAAGTTCTGGCGTACCAGAGAAGGCCCAGAAGGGTCCCAAGAGGAGGCCACTGTGGCCAGCAGGAGTCGGGGGTTCACTGATTGGGGACCCCAGGAGCGCCTCGCGGCCCAGAGCTGTGGAATCGCAATGCTACAGCGTGCGCTACGCAGGGACAGTAGCGAAGGGCTGATGAGCCTGGAGAGGAAACAGAAACCGGACAGCATGGCTCCTCCTTTCTGGAAGTGGGGAAACTGAGGCTGGGCGCACTCAGGACCAGGCCCAGTGAGGGGGCGTTGGGTCTGAATCAGAACGCGGGCCTAGGCAACAGGGAATGCGTCACACACCCCTTCTCTTCCACAGGCACAGAGTTCCACAGCGAGGGCTTCTGGCAGCACCACGCATCGCACCTGTCGTAATTGGGACCATTCTGGTAATGGGCCTCTGGGAAAGGCAACACAGAAAAATGCAGTTATAGGACCCAGTTTATCCAAAAATCTGTCTCATCATCAATGCAAGATTCTTGCTGTTGGGAGTTTTTAATTTATTATTTTACCTAAGTTAAAAAATACTGTCATGGCACATTCCTATAATCCCAGCTGCTCAGGAGGCTGAGGCAGGAGGATGGTGAGTTCAAAGCCAGCCTCAGCAATGGTGAGGCACTAAGCAACTCAGTAGACTCTGTCTCTAAATAAAATACAAAATAGGTACCCCTCCCCCCCAAAAAAATTTAAAATCCTGTCATTAGAGTAGGCACTGTACTTGCAAAAGAAGGGACTGAACTGCCCTTGCCCTGCATCTCTGATCTTTTCATGCCCAAGGACCCTACAGTGGCAGAAGGAATACAGTGAAAGGGGTAAAACCCAAAGTCATCATCAATTCATCTGTGAGAGTAAATGTCCATATTTAAAGCAAGTATATATAAATTGATTTCCTTGTTATTTTAATAATAGTAATAGTAAGTATGGAAGTAATTGCCAGTATAGTGCACAACTTTTCAAATGCCTATATACAAGTAGGTGCTTTAAAATATGTATTTTGTTTTTAAATATAAGTTTATCTTCACTATACAGAAAGCAGATACTATGGAAAAGTAGGAAAAATGTACCAATTGGTTACAAACTTGATTTTACTTTCCCATCTTTTGTTAAAGGAGAGAGAGAGGGAGAGAGAGAGAGAGAGAGAGAGAGAGAGAGAGAGAGAGAGAGAGAGAGAGAGAGAGAATCTTTTGAATTACTGGGGATTGAACCCAGGACCTAACACATGCTAGGCAACTACTATACCACTGAGCTACATCTCCAACCTCTTATTGTGAGACAGGCTCTCACTACATTGCCCCCATAGGCTGGCCTCAAATGTGTCATACTGTCATACTCCCCTCAGCCTCCCTAGTAAGAAGGATTATAGGCCTTGGCCACCATACTTGGCAAGAGAGAGAGAGATTTTAAAGAAGTTTTAAAAAAAATAAATATTAGAATATTTAGTGTTAAAAGGATATTTTAAAATGTTGTAGGGAATTAATAAAATGAGGATGAGCTCACAGAAGAAAATTCAAAACACCCCTAATTCTTTCTCTGCCCAGAGATAACCATTGTTAAAATGTTGATAATTCACACAAACTGAGAAGATAATTAAAAAAAAAAAAAAATATATATATATATATATATATATATATATATATATATATATATAACAGTACACATATACTTTTTAAACAGCTCTGCAGTGAAATAATTAACATACAAGAAGCTTCACCTACTTATTACAATTTGATAGCATATGTTACACACACACACACATCTGTGAAACCATCACCTAAATCAACATAGTGGACATTTTCATCAATTCCAGAAATTTTCTCATAAGTCCTTTGTGCTCTGTAATCCCTCACTTTCCACTTGTCTCTGTCCCATCCCATCCCAGACAACCACTGATCTTTGCTTTTCCTCCCTACATATATTAGTTTGTGTTTTCTACAATTCAATTTATAATAAATAAAACTTTATTTCTGGTTTCTTTCACTCAGAATAAGTATTTTGAGATTTATCCCTTTTGTAGCTTCTATTAGTAGTTCCTTTTACTGTTGAGTAGTATAACATTATATAGTTTTATGACAGTTCCTTTGTTCCGTCAACCAGTGATTGACATTTTGGTTGCTTATGGATTAAGTTATTAAAATAAAGGTGGGATGGAAATTCCTGCACAACTCTTTGAGTGGACATGTGTTCTCATTTCTCTTGGGTAAATATCGTGTAGTGAAGTGACTGGATCATATAGAGTTAAGTCTATTTTTAACCTTTGGCAAACTTCCAAACTGTTCTCCAAAGGGCTTTGAAACAGTTTATATTCCCATCAGCAGTGTATAAGAGAGCAAGTTCCTTCATATCTTTACTAGTATTTGGTATCATCAGTCATTTAATTTTAAGTTTTTTTTTTTAATTTTAGCTCTTTGTAGACATGTACTGATATTCCAATGTTTTAACTTTACATTCTCATAATAATTGAATGATTCTTAGTGCATTTTCATATATTTCTTTAGTGAAGTGTATGTTCAAATCTCTTGCCAATTTACATATTGAGACATTTGTTTTCTTATGGTTGTTTGTTTTTCATGGTTCATATCCGAGTCTTATTAGTACTACTTCAGTTCTTCTTCATGATTTCTGCATATTGCCTTCTCTATCTCACTTTCTTTTATTTTCTTAAGCAAAACAGATTATCTTTCTAGGTTGGTTTCACCAATGGTAAATTTAATATACAATTTAGTTTCCACAGGTTGTTGAAAAAAATTAGTAGAATGTACACAGAGCATTTACTATGGTGCTTTGCAGAATCTCCTTTAATAGACTTTATTGGATATTTCTTTTTAATTCTTAAAAATCAATTATTTTATATTTTATATTATTCAGTAAAATGTTCAGTTTAAGGAAATACCTATACAGCTTACAAAAACAAAAACAAAAAAACATCAACACAACCCAGATACATATTGTATGCATAGTATATTAGTCAGATGTGCATTGCTGTGATCAAAATACTCAACCAGAACAACTTAGAAAAGGAAAAACTTATTTTGGCTCCTGGTTCCTGAGGTTTACTCCTTGGTTGGCCACACCCATTGCTCTAGGCATAAGATGAGGCAGCAGGTCATGCAGGTGAGGACTTGGAAGAGAAGCACTGCTCACCTTATGACAGATGGAAAGCAGAGAGAGGAAAGGGGGGAAGTGCCACTGAGAAGGTGAACCCTTCCAGGTCATGCCTCCAGTGACACGCCTGCTTTAGCCACTGCCTACAATTACCCACTCATTTAGTTAACTCAAACTAAGATGAAACAATTAGGTTACAGCAATTATAATCTAATCATTTCACCTCCAAGAATCCCTGCATTAACACAAGATCTTTTGGGTGACACCTCATATCCAAACTATAACATACAGTGAGATAGAAGTTATTATATAGGAATGTCCAATTTTAGTATTGTAGTAAGCTCTTGCTCTCAAAAGAACTTCTTCAGGTATATGATAAATAAAAATGAATGCTAAGTTCTAGTTGCATTTAAACTCTGCTAGTCAAATATGACTGATGTTCACCAGGCAATTCTCACTAATTTTCACTTTTCTATACCCATTATACTTTTATTTTCCCCATACTTTTGCTATTCCTAGAATGTAGTTCCCTGAAGAGAAGTGATGAAATTGATTATTTAGTGTGGTATTAAATGCTGACAGCTGTTTCGAGTGTTTTAAGAGAATTGATGCTCTTCTTAGAAATGTTTATCCCTAAAGTAATAAAATGCATAGGCATAAGACAAATAAAATGCATGAAATGTGATGCAAAATGATGACTTAAAACACAACACACATTTAAATGTCCTATGTTAGTAAAAAATGTCTCTTCTTCCTGATATAAAGTTTGTGGTATAATTTTGCAGACTTTGAACCCATAGGATGTAGTAGATATTATGTTTATCTTCTGGGCATTTTGATTTCTACAATTCACAGTAAAATTAATGTTGTTTGAACAAAATACAAACCTAGACCATCACTCACTGTTTTTCACAACTTGATTGTTCTTCGTTTTAATGGCTTCTTTCCTTCCTTGATTAACCCCTAAGCTTTTGTGATTCTATGATTCTTCCTTTGCTTCTTTACTTTCCTTTCTTCCTAACTAAAACTCTTCTTCCCAGTGTTCTTTCACTTCCTTACAAAATCCTTCTCATCTTTTACAGTTCCGTGAAATATATTACCTTCTTTGTAAGGTCTAATATAATATCACTCAGGATTAACCAGTAACTTTCTTACTTCCTCTGTATTTTGGGTGTCAAAATAGTTTGTTTATAGTAAGGGAATATCATGTTAGAATCTCTGGACATGTGTGTATGTGTATATGTGTTTTCCTAAGAGTAGAGCTTACTATTTTATTCATTTTTAAATCCCCAGGCCTACTACAGTGTTTGACACACATTATGAAAGAAACACAAATGTTTTCCTAGTGTCCTTTCTTTGGGATAGGAAGTCTAATTTCTTTCTTTCTATTGGGATAGAAAGTCTAATTTCACATAGCATACAAAATTGGCTCAATACACTTTTATAAAGCATATTGGAAGATGTTTTTAATTTAAATTATTTAAGGCAGCAAAGAAAACCTCTGTACTTTGGTGGTTTCATTGTCCAATGGAAAAACAATATTTCCTCTTTTCTCCTTTATAGACGTATTATGTAAGTGTTTATCATATATGTGAAAAAGCTTTGCCAATGGGAAATTAAAAACCATATGGAAGTGAACTGCTTTGATTAAGTAATCCTTTGATTTATGCAATAAATCATAACATTTGTTTCATTAAAGCATTTGATTTAAACTAGTAAATATTTTTAGAACTTACATACCTTGAAAAATATTTGAAGAACACTCTTTTACGTTAATGGATGGGAACAGAGTCATAAATATTAAGGGGATGAAAAATATCCCACTTCTCTATATTTGCATTTCCAATGATGGTATTTATTTTCTTTTCTCATTTCTTTCCTTTCCCTGTTTTAGGTAACAAGATCAGTCATATAATCAATTCTTCATTTTCATTATTGATTCTAGCCCTTTCTAACATTGTTATCAGGAGCCTGTTGTGTGGTAAAGTCAAGGTAGAGATAAATCCATTGATCACTATGGATTATGCATTTGCTGTTAATGAAGTATTTGAGGTTTTGAATAAATTATTTGTCCTAGGGGA